AAAGCACTGGAAGTTAGGACAAGAGTGTCAAGGGAAACTGTTGTGAACCTAACATTCAGTGACGTGACTCCTTGAAGTAGACGGAGCTACGCTGATGGAGCTCATCATGAGGCCTTCCGCCTCATGGAGTTCACTGTAAATATTTGCTTTAGTTTTTACAACGGGAAAACAGAGGCACAAATGTTTGGAAGACAGACACAGTGAGTAATACCTACCTCCTCCCAAGAGTGTTCTAAGGACCCAATGACAGATGATGAGTGAAAGTGGTCTGTAAACTAGAGGCTCAAGTAAGTATAACAAACACTCCAGTTCCCACAGTTCAGAATAAAGCCAGGACTCAGCCATGGCTACCTCATCCTACCATAGAACTGCCCCAGGGCTACTGTGATCAGGGCCCATGAGTAAGTGCCAAAGAACAGGCAGGGCTGGGGCCAGGGCATGGCTGAGATCCTGTGTACCCTCTGAGTAACGGGTGATGTGAGTGGCAGCATCTGGTCCCCGTCCCCACTCCAGCCACTGTCCCATGAGTAATGAGATTCTTTTAAACAGCAACTCTAGCTCTAAGGCTGATGACCCTTAAAGAGCCTCCATTTCCTGACTGTATCACGGAGTACAGTACACATTTCCTAAAGTACACTTTGGAATAGGTCTGCACATAACTTGCTTGTGAGTATAAAATGTTTTATAAACTCAGTAGCCAGGGCCTGAGAGAAGGCTCAGCAGTTAAGGACACTTGTTGCTCTCATAGGGGACCCAGGTTTGGTTCCCAGCATCCACATGATAGCTCATAACCATCCATAACTCCAGTGCAGGGCATTTGACAACCTCTTTTGGCCTCCTCAGGCACTTGGCATGCACGTGGTGCACATACATACATACAGGCAAACACTCATACAAACACACACACACACACATTTATAATTATAAAAACAGTAACAAACAAACAAACAAAAAAACCAACTCAGGAGTGAAGTGTTCTTTCTTGGGTGGTCAAGGAGCACAGAGTTTTTTTTTGTTTGTTTGTTTTTGTTTTTTGTTTTTAAATTCACCTTGCTATTTCCAGGACAAGAGATATGTTAACAACATAAAGTCAGTTTGCTACTTTACTGTTGTATTGTTTCAGTTTATTTCCAAAGAGTGAACAGAGGGAAGAGGACTCTATATTAGACACACCCCCCACCCCCACCTCCCCCCCACACACAATGGCTCCAAGGCTAAAATCTCTTGCTGCACAACTCTGGGGATCTAATTCTCAAAGTTGTCCTCTGATCCCCATGTAAGATGTGGCACGTGCACACTTGCACCCCCCCACACACACAAAACAAACACAGCACACATACATCCTCAAAGATCCATCTAAAGAGAAGTTCTTAGGCCCTGAGGGCATAGCGCAGTGGCAGAACATTTGCCCACCACAGACAAAGACCTAGGTTGGATCTCACAATATCCAAGAGGAAAGGACACCAGAATAAAGGAGGAGCTCACAGAAATGATCCTGCCTCCTGATACACAAGTGGTGTATTCTGGAATTAAAGGTGGGAAAGGAGTAAAAAGAAACCCACAGACTCCAAAGGGCAGGAAGTCTGCAACCCGGGCATACATCAGTCTACCTGGAGAGCCTGACACAACACAGACCAAGGTAGCTTCCAGGGCAGTGAAGATGCTACAGGTCTTTGGACCACACTGCACCTGTGTGACCGACTCTAGACCATGTGCCACTTACTGCTGTATCCTAGTTGGCTCCCAGTGTTTTTGCTCTGTGAATGACCATTGTAACTTCACTTCCAGGAACTATTTCACTACTTACATAAACTAGTTGTAGGCATTTTATTAGCTTCATTTCAAAACCAAAATATGTGTATGCCAGGCATTACAGCCTCTGACCTTGAAAGGTTCACAGCCTTATTAAATTGACCCTGATCACAGATGTCCATGCTGACAGCATTATCCTGGTTGTATATAGACAACTACATTTTTTGAGCCTTTTATCATAGTGGGTTAGCAATTACTCACAGAAACTTTGCTTAAACAAAATGGACCAATTAGTCACACAAATGCAAAGTAAATAAAGGAGTAAACCCTGAGAGGATCTGCCTGGGGCCCAAGTGTCTGTTTCCACCCCTAAGACCCCCGTCTCCCTAAGAACTCTTCAGTTACTGTAGCCGAAGGTCAAGTCAGGCAGCAGCCCCAGGCAAACATGTTAAGTGTGTGAATTTCTTCTTCAAGCCCTCTCACAGTCTTTGCACACTTGGTTGGCAATTCTCTGTCAAACCCCTGCTATTCTGCTTGTTCATTCAGAAAAACAGGTGTTCCTGTTAAAATTAGCTGTCTCAAACTGCCAAATAGCTCAGATCCCTACACCAGTTTAAAAAGGAAAGTGTAAAAGAACCACCACTCAGTCGTTAACTGATGTTTCCAAAATTATAAAGATCATAGGGGCTGGGATATAGAAAGACAGAAAAACCACACACACACACACACACACACACACACACACACACACACACACACACACACACACTGCATTCTTACCAAGAACTCAGAATGAGTAAGAAAGGCAAAACTTTAAACAGCTAAAGAAAGGCTTGTTGTGATTTTTTTTTTCCTGGTATCGCTTGAAAGCCCATTTTTGTCCCATTTCCTTGGTTGACTGTCATAGATAATGGCTTTTGTTTGGGGAACTTAGCTGTTTGTTTTTTCTTTTTTCTTTTTCTCCTTATCATTCCTGAGAAGGCTCCTGACATCTCTGGTCAGAAAGTGGGCTTTAAGCTGGACTTACAAACCTTGACCTGGGACATCAGAAGGACCCAGGGATGCACTGGGAGTTAACAGTAGTGAGGTGTAATTTACATACTAAAAAAGAAGAAAGAAAAGTGAAAGGAGGCCATTCTGATTTTATTCCTGGAACCAGTAATCCTGTTGACCTCATTATATCCTATTATGAAATAGGTTGATGTATCTCTTTAAAAAAAATCAGGGGCTATTTAAAAGAGAAGTTTGGCAACTAGTACATTGGAAGAAAGTTACAATCTCAAAGACCTGTGTCCAAGTCCCTGGCCCAATGAAGCACTGCACGCAGGCGCACACGCACGCAAGTGCCGTGTGCCCCTCACGATGCCTCTCAGAAACTGCTGCAAACAGTTATTTCATGACACCTGCTGCTGGACAAACCCTGAGCCTCAAAAACAGAAGAGAAAAAGGTTCCATATCACTGTTCTTTGGACATGCCCAAACCTTCAAATACACACATATTAAAAGCACTTGTCACTTGTCTGGGAGAAAGAACAGCTCCAAATTGAATTTGGAGACGAGCTAGTTAATGTCACGGAGAGATAGGGCAAGTCTGTTTTCCTTTTGGCTTTAAACTTCTTTAGGGAGTGAGTCCAAGAATAAGCTGGTGATTCTTTTTTCTTAATTACCACATTTACAGGTTTCTGGCCCTGATTTCCTTTGTGTATACTCTGATATCTGCAGCTGAAGGAACCATATAAAACTTACTTTTATCATTGTGTAAATCCAATAAATAGAAATAATTTCCTCACACATTTAGCATTTCCTCCCCAATCTCCCTGAAGCTAACCTAGACTAAACTTTACAAAAGAGCAGGGGAATGAATAACGCTCAAGGTCACTTTATTTTACTTAATAGTTTAACTCTTCCAGGACCTGACAGAGAAAATTACAGTTCCTTTGATCATTTCCCCAATGATTACTTTTTGTTTGAGGCAGCCCATGCTGGCCTCAAACTCACGGCAATGCTCCTGCTTCAGCTTCATAAATGGTGGAATTACAGATGTGAGTCACCATGGCCAGCTTTCCCCTGATAATTGCATTTTAACATTTTTCTAAGGGTTTGAGAGAGGATAATTTTACATGCTAAATTTCATATTTTTGCAACAAATACAGCCATTCAAGCAAGACAGGCTGTATGGCTCTCTTCATGCTGGTTTTTTTTTTTTTTTTTTTTTTGGGTTTTTCGAGACAGGGTTTCTCTGTATTGTTTTGGAGCCTGTCCTGGAACTCACTCGGTAGACCAGGCTTGGTCTCGAACTCACAGAGATCCACCTGCCTCTGCCTCCCAAGTGCTGGGATTAAAGGTGTGTGCCACCAACGCCCGGCCTCATGCTGATGTTTTATAGTGGCACCATCAAGGTTTCAGTACAATGAATCCCAACAAAAACATAAACGATACATTTAAAGCCTGTAGGAGTCTTTTTGCCTGTGTGGCTCTTCCAGGCTTCAATACTGTAAATAGGTTTGTCATTCTTTTAATAAGAACTACTCAACAGTGTCTTCAACAAACTATACACCCCCTTATAACCCCCATCCCCAATCCCTTTATGTCTACCCAAAAGACAAACTACCATGACATGATTTCAATCATAACACAACCATTTGAATCAAGGTCACAAAAACAAGCCCTCTGCCAGCAATTATGCTCTAGAAAGTTCCTATACTCTTGAGGAGACATCCTCCTCTAACAAACAGCCATGGAGATTTTTGAGTGAAGCTTAGCCTCCTCACCAAAGACGCTAAATGCACTAAGTTGATGCACAGCGCTCTTGAGTCCCATACAGAAATCCCGTGAGCTGGCAAGGAGGTCGCCCGCACACGGTATTAGGAAGTGCTTTAACCTGAAAACGGCAGGCAGAGCACAAATCAGACTGAACCGTGGCTCATGATGGTGAGATGAGCAGCGACAAAGACAGCTAAATCACTCTCCAAAAAACTAGAAGGAAGACAAAACCCCCACTAACAGCCCACCCCCAAGCACTGCATAATCCAATCACATGTTGCCTGCCTTTAACAACAGATCACATACATTTGTCTTTCTGTGGTGCTAGGATGCTCAGAAGAGTAATTCTCGAAGGAAAATTGGAAAAGGGTGGGCACTGGGGATTCACTTGCCAACCAAAGTAAACCTTTCCCCCACAGCCCCTTCCCACAGATGACAGGCAGCAGGCAGAGTTAGTGGAAATACAGTAACTGCAAAAAACCATCTGAGAAACATAACAATTTAATAGATGAAATAAATACTCCAGTACATGCAGGGTAAAAACTTGACATTGGGGGAAAAAATCACTCTATAGTGTAAATTAAAAAATAAAACACACACTCACAGTAGCTTTCCCCCCACTTGCAAATCACATGGCAAAGTCATACTCTTATCACACAAAGTATACTCTAATTCAACAAAAATAACGACATACAAAAAGGTAGCTACATCCATGTCTAAGGAGTGAAAACTGAGGTAACCTTTCTTTTAATTAAAAAGAAGAAAGAAATGAACCCATGATGTCTTTCCTGCCCAATTAACTGAGGGGTTGGAGTGTGTAGGGGTAATCCTGCAGCCCACACGCTACCTACCCATCTTCTGTATCTGAGTCTCCACAGTGGGCTGGTAGATACCTGGGCCCACTGTGTACATGTTAAGTTGTGTGCCTGGCCCTGCCTTCTGGAAAAATCCTCTTGAGCATTTAACATTGGGGAGGGGGAGTCACCTATGATTTCTTTGGTATAAATGGAGAGGGGAGGAATAAGTGTCTTCCTTTAGCCTGGGGTGGACAATGGGTATGGGGGGTGTGGGGTGGGGTGCTAATTCACAGAATTGGAATTCACTGGCGGTAAAGTCCTGGGTGAAGACCTTTCCCTTAAAGCCTGAGATAGCAGGGTGCAGCCTTCAGACACGGCGCAGGCCGAGTTCCTCAGCCTCTCCCTGTGGTCCGACATCTTGGCGCCCCCATCGGGGTGCTGCGCCAGATCCCTGAGGCACTGGGTCAAGAGCACACAGGCCGACACCACGCTCATGGCGCCTCCCAGGATGGCGGTCTGCACCGCCTTGCCTTCAGCGCTCACGGCCGCTGCGCGACCCAGGAATTGAGGCTCAGTGGCAAAGCCCACTAGAGCGCTCACGGCCTGTACCAAGGGCCCGCTGAAGAGTGCGCAGCGGCTGCGGGCCAGCTCGCTGGGTGCCGCCTTCACCTCGCGCACGCATGCCAGCAGCGCCGATGCACTGGTGCTCATGCACTTGACGCCCAGCTTGAACTGCTCGCGCGAAAATCGGTCCCGTGACTTGTCACTGGCCAGGGCGCACGCGTCCGTCAGGAACTTGAGGTTTCGAGACAGGCCCTGTGACACCTCCAGCAGCAGCTGCGGCGTCATGTCAGCCAGCGGGGTGGCTCGAAGCACAGCACAGCCCTGCTCCACCTCGTGGCGGCAGCGTGTCACACGGTAGCGGTCCACAAGGCCGGGCTGTGCAGGTTGAGCGCCCGGCGTGGCCACGGCCGCCAGGTAGGCCGCATGTGCAGAGCACTCGGTCAGCGACACCACCAGGTCGCCCAGTTCCACGAGACTGTCCCCCGCCTCTCCGAAGCGGCCCATGTTGAGCTGGCTCTGCACGTCGTGGGTGAGGATGGAGAGGCCCTTGGTGCGCGCGATGATGGTGTCCCGGCACTGCTCGAAGGACTCGGCACCAGCGCCAGGGGAGGCGGGGCCTTCGGTGAGCACCGGCCGCGCCTCGCTAGACAGCAGCAGCAGGTCGGCCACCAGCTGCATCTTGCCCTTGCAGTGGTCACAGATCGACACCAGCCTCTTCCGCGGCTGTGAGCTGGCCCCGCCGACGGCGCTCCCTGGAGCCGGAGAAGCCGCCTCACCAGTGGGTTTCCCGGCGCTGCCGCTAGCCATCGCGCCCAGGGGGCACTGGCATGCCGCTGGGGAGCCCACTACCACCGCCGCCGCGACTCAGCTGGCCAGGGCCGCGCTGCCTTCCGCGCACCATCATGCCACCCACCGCGGCGGGCACAGGGATCGGGGTGGCGGCGGCGGCCGGGTGTCTCGGGGCGGGCCCAAGCCCGCGACAAGCTCTTCTTCGGGGCGCTGTGCACGCTCGCTGGGACCGTGAGCCGGGGCACGGCAGAATACCAGTCCGCGCCCCTCGCCACGAGCCTACCAGAAAAGTCCCCGCTGCCGGGCTGTCGCCGCCTTCCTGGGCATGGCCGGCCGGGCCGCCGGAGCGGAGAGGGCGGGACGGGGAGGCTGGGAGTTGTCCTTCCTTCCTTCCTTCCTTTGAAATCAAAATCCTCTGCTCCTGGAGGAGCGCGGGCGGCGGCCCCGGCAGGCTTTGCTGTCAGCCGCTGCGCTGCGGCGACCGGACTCGGCGGCGCACGTGGGCTTCAGGCGCGGCGACCCCGCCAGGCGGCACCGGCCGGCGACGGCGGCCGGAGCAGACGAGCGGGGACGAACGGCCGCATCTTCTGCTCCGGCTCTTTGGGCGCTGGGCGGCCGCAGGGCCGAGGGCGTGGCTGGCTCTGTGGCGGCCGCGCGGAGTCAGTCGGGCGGGAGGCTGCAACGCAGGGCGCTGGGCGGCCGCGCCTTCCCGCCTGGCGGTTCAGAGTGCGCGGCCCGGCGCCGCGGCGGCACGCCGTCCCGGCTTGGATGGTCCGCGCCCGGCGGCCGGCTGTCGTGGCGACTCCATCCCCGTTGCCCCGCAGAACCCACGGGCCCCGCGCATCCGACGCCCCGGGGTAGTCGGCTCAGAAGGTGCGCGCGGCTCCGCGGCGGCCGACCCGGGCCCCGACTCCTGCCATGTTTGTCAACCAGCAACTTCCCAGCGACCTCCGAGCAACTGAAAGGAAGGGCGGAGACCGCAGGCCAGGGGACACCCGCCTGCCCGCGCGCGTCTGCGGCTTTCGCCTCCTCGCGTCCGCCTCGCCCCCGGCTCGCCGCCGCCACCTCGGCCGTAACCTCCCAGGAGCCTATAGGAATCTTTTGTGTGGCGTCACCGCCTTTCGTTTAAATCCCGCTTCCTCCTCTTGCCCTTCCTCCCGCCCCCTCCGCCGATCCCGGATGCTTGCGCGATGCGCTGCTCCTCCCCCGGGAAGCTGGGGGCCGTGGGAGGACGCCGCGCCCAGCCCCGACGCTGCGGCCCTGGGGCCGGTGGTCCCCGAGTCCAGAGAGGCTGGAAAGCGCGTGTGGTGGGGAAGGCCCGCCCTCACTCCGCTCCCCCGCGCTGCGCACACCCTGGGGACACCGGGGCGCAGCCGCGAGTGGCCTTACGTAAGCTCTCAGCCAGCCCCCGGGCTTGCTGCTTCCTCCCCGCCGAGGGAGCGAGCGTAAAAGGTGATCTGTTTTGCTGCTTTCTTGAGGAGGAGGCCACTCACTGTCCCCCCCCCCGCCCCGTCCCCCGGATTCCAGTTCGAATCTCTGAGATTCAATGACTTTTGCAAGCCCTCCCCTCCCTTTGTTGTGTTCGACCCTTTCCTATGGGTGGGTTTCTGTGGAACAGTGAAAGAACAGGACTGCTGGTCAGGCTGGAGTCCCCACAGCGGGTGTGGCAGAGACAAACTCTTCCTGGGGATGGTCTTCCTCCAGCGGATCAGGAGTTGTGTGACCTTGGGCAAGTTCTCTTTCCAAGTCAGGTACTGTGTGGTGACTCCGTTCCAGCTGGCTAGAATTAGCATGTGCCTTGATCAGCAGTTTGCCCTTTCTGGCTCCATCTATATAGTGGAATAATAGCAGCCATTGTTAAGTAAGGAGCCTGTCTCTGGAGGTAAACACTGTTATCTCTGGGTTACAGGCTGAGAAACTGGTGGCCCAGATTGCCCCCTCCCCCCCCACACACCTAGGGATTAAACCTAGGACCTTGAACTAGTGAACTTTTATTTATTAATTTTGGAAATAGGGTCTGATTAAGTTGCCCAGGCTGGCTTTGAACTTCTGATCCTCCTCCCTTAGCTTTGCAAGTAGTTGGGATAACAGGCCTGTGCCAGGTGGACTAAGTGACTTCCTAAACGCCTAACCACAACAGATGGTTAAAGGAGGTGGTCCTCCACCCCCTCCAGTCACCCCATTGGCCAGCCACCCCCTTTCTGCATTCAGGTCCTGCAGGCAGGAACCTTCTGGAATACCTGGGCCTGCTCCCAGCAAAGCACTCTCCTTCTAAAGCCTTCTGCTGGTACCCAGCACAGCACAGCTGGGTGTGCTCAGCCAATGGAAATGTTTGTTCCTCTGTCTTTTCCTAGGACCTCCACAGACCGTTATAAATGTTATTTATAAGCTGGGTGACCTTCAAATTTATTGTCCAAACCCCAGTAGTTTACAGAGTGAACTATGAAACAAGTTATTAATAAGTTAATGAGGAACAACAGATACAAACCTGGATGGACAGTCATCCTACTCATAACCAAAAAAAATGCCCTTACAGATCGGCTAGATTCTAGGTGAACCAACTTTCTCTATAAACTGAAGCCAGTGAAACCAATGGCTCTCTAAACAAGTAGTGATTCTGTAGGGTTATTCCTTCGTATTTTTCTATAAGGGAAAAGCAGAGCAGACTCTTTCCGTGCTAACCCAGGAATAACAAGCAGTTAGTCCTAAGGAATAGTTTCCTTAGCTTTAAAATCTTAAGAGAAGGGCCAGCAAAATGGCTTAGCAGGCGAAGGTACCTGCTACCAAGCATGACAACTGATATTAGCCCCTTGGATCTGAGTGTAGAAAGAATCATCTACACATTGTCCTCTGGTCACTACACAGTGACATTCTCACAAATGGACGGACACACACACACACACACACACACACACTAAATACATGAGTAAAAATTAATAAAGTTTAAAAAGTCAAAGAGAAGTCAAATCTTTTCCCTTGTGCTCACTTCATTCCAGGAAGCTGTGGGATCAGATTATTTTCCCCAAACACAGTTGTTGCCCCTGGAGTCCAATTTCCCTTTTCTTCTCTTGCTGCTAGAAGCCTCTTGTCCCTGGTATATTGCACATAGACTGCCCCAGCTTGATTTGGAGCTGGGCTCAGCTGTGCAATTTGGTAGGCTAAATTTCTGGCCTTCCTGGCTTCATTTCTCAGATAGTGCCACTCTCCCTAACTGATCTTTCCAGGTTCCACGCTCACCTTTGTTCCCCCTCCTGCCATTGTTTACTCCTGGCTCAAATAAAATCATGTGGCAGCCCCTGTTCAAGGCACTGAGCTTGCATACTAGATTGTAACAGGCAGCCTCTGCCGGTGAAGATTAGAGTCCAGAAAGGACAAGTTCACAGACACGTGCCCTCAGTTACTGTTTTCACAGTAAAAGCACGGAGCAAAATGGACATCGGATCCAGTACTGCACACCAAGTTTTTCAGTCACTTGGTACTTTCTGACCAATGGTAGTGGTGATTTGCAGGCCAAAGCAGGGGAAATCAAATGTAAAAACTCCTGCTCTTTCCTACCTTGCTGTAACTGTGGGAGCACTGTGCCCAGAAGCATCCATCTTTAGAAATGTTTTATCTTCTGTGATACTCTACCTGTGAAATAGCATCCCTTTAGTCTTCCCACCTGTCTCTGACCATCACCAACTTCTATGAGCTTGATTATTTGAAGTACTCTGTTCTTTAGCATAATGTCATCAAGGTGAACTAATGTTTTTTTTTTGTTGTTTTTTTTTTTGTTTGTTTTTTTTTGGTTTTTCGAGACAGGGTTTCTCTGTATTGTTTTGGAGACTGTCCTGGAACTAGCTCTGTAGACCAGGCTGGCCTCGAACTCACAGAGATCTGCCTGTCTCTGCCTCCCAAGTGCTGGGATTAAAGGCGTGTGCCACCAACGCCCGGCTCAAGGTGAACTAATGTTATAACCTATGAGGATTTCCTTTTTTAGGGGAAATAATATTCACCTGTATGTACTTTGGGCATTCATACCCAAGTTTCATGTTACATCCCAGAATTTGTGGGCGAGCAACCAAGCTGTCTGTGGTACACAGTGCCACCCAGTGGTTGGTAAGGAGCAGTGTTGGCTATAGTTGTCCTTTGGAGCTGTGTTTCTTGGTTTCATGTTTATACTCAAAGGTATGCAGTGATCTCAGGTGATCTTTCTTACACAACTGTAGACATCACAGTTTATTCTTTTTCTTTGAGCGTAGCTCTTGGCCGGGTGTGGTGGTGCACACTAGCACTTGGGATGTAGAAGCTGGAGGATCAGGAGTTCATTGTGATCCTGGCTGGTAACATACGTGGGAAAAACTTTGGCCTTCAGTCTCTCATCTTCCTTGTTGCTTCTACTGTAGTGACCAAGGAAGCTGTATACAGGCCCACTGATCCTTTGGCAGCAATGTCTGAACCTTCAGCTCCAAGTGTTTCCCAGGGTATCCTACATGGCTAAGGTTGTTTGTATGGGCCAACAATTTCATAGCCGATTCCTCTACTGGCCAGTAAGAGAAAAGATGATTTCCAGGATTTAGGGACCAAAGACAGCTAATACTACCATTCCTGGTCAGATGCCAGGTGGTTGGTACCTATAGATTAACTAGGGCTATTGCTGCCTCACACAGAGCTTCTCTGGACTTTTAAATACACTTGGGCATGTCTGCCCTTGTGTCCACTGTGCTGTCTGCCCAGCCTGGGTGAGGCCGTTGACATGCTCTTTGAGGCTACAGGCCTAGCTCTCTCAACAACGCTGTCAACCTGTGAGGAACAGAGCTGGTGTCTGTTCTCTTCCACATCTGATGCCTTGAATAGTCATCAGCCAGTATTGATGGAATTCATTTGTCAGGCCTTCCAACAGTTCGAAATGTTTGGCACCAGTGACCTACCGCCAGACCCTAGGCCTCGCTGATGACTGTGACATTCAGTTTCTCAAATGTTTTGGGCATCTCTCATGCACATTTTCAGGTAGTGCTAAAAACTATCGCTCTACCTCCTTCCTGTGGAGGACACAGGCCAGCATGAGCCCAGGCTCACACTCTCACTAAATCCGAGATGCACTTGGAGGTAGGGTAAGTACACTACTCAGAGCCTGGCTCCTCACTTAGGCCATGATCACAATCTCACTTCTGGTCCTTCTTCTCCGGTTCTCTGTTGTTCTGTCTCAGACTGTGTCAGACCTCGGGTTCCAGTGCAATCTGAGTGTTCCCTGGCTCCAGATTTTGCAATTGATTTCTGTGTTACTGTGCTAAAAGCCTCACTGGCTAGCTCGAACGGTGCTGTGGTAGAAGAAGGACACCGGGGAAGAACGTGGCCTGTGTTCCCGGGTCGATTTTTGTCTCTATGTCCATCCTAGGTTGGCCACAGTTGAATGATCTGGGGCTGGGGCTGGGGATATGATTTACTGGGTAAAGCACTTGCTGAGCAAATGTGGGTCAGCCCTCACGTAGACAGAAATGGAAATCTTTGTAGAAAGCCAGCTTGCCAGACTAGCAGAAATGGCAAGATCCAGGCTTAAAGAAAAGACCCTGCCTCAATGTACTAGATAATAACCTCTGGCCTTCACATGAATACAACACATACATAAAGGAGGAGGAGGAGGAGGAAGGGGAAGAGGAGGAGGAGGAAGAGAAGGGGGAGGAGGAGACCCTTATCATGTCATGATCTCTTTAGCCCCTCCTGGAATCTATGTAGAATTCATGGTAGATGACTTATCTCCTCTGCTAATGCCAAGCCTCGGATACTATCTCAAGGGCTGCAGGTTCACCTTCCTGTGTGTCTCACCTGCCTAACAATAAGTCACTGGTAAATAAGGTCCTTCAGAGCTGAACTGGTCAAAGTTCCAAAACCCCAAGATATACTTAAAGTATCAAAGTGTTGAAAATGTAGTTGCTCCAGATGTTTTCACATTAGTAAAGTAGGAGCCAGATGGGTTTCCTCCTCAGATGACAGTCAGTAGCCCTGGAACTTCTGACTTGTTTCTACAACACTAAGAAAAACTTTTGTTCTCTGTAACTACATATTGTGCCAAGAAAACCAGCATTTTTTTTTTACCTTACCTTGGCAGTTGGCAAATGAATGACCAGGGTGACCCCGCCCGGCAGAGCACATGATCCGCCACAGCTGTGCATGTTTTTTAGGATGACTGTGCCAGGACCGAGCTCCAAGCCACTGGGTGGAGCAATGTACCCCTTGGGAGAAAGCTCATGACATTTCCCCTATGATTTCAGAAAAGAAAAAAAAAAGTCCTCTCTTTTGCTTATGAGTTGTTTCTGCACAATGCCAACAGCAAATGTCCTTGTGTCTATGCCTATCCATGCATGAGTGTGGAAGACGCCAGCCTCTGCTACAGCGGGATAAACGCGTTTGACCTCAGAGTGAAGGTCCATAAGGCACGCACCACTAGTCAGCTGCTTTCTTAACCTCCACTGTATGCTTTCCCCTTCATAACAAGTCCAGTTTCATTTGGGCTGGTAGCAAATCCAGCTAGATGACAATTCCTCAGCCCCTCTCAGAGAAGTAGACTCCAGAGACCAGAAGTGCTGTGCACAGTTCCCAAATAGGATGTTTCAAATAGGTTGATTCCTCCCTTTCAGCTTGGCTTCCTCCCCATTTCCTTTGCTGGGAATGTCATCTGATGGCTGGAGCACCAGGAGCCATGCTGGAACTTTTGATGGCCTTGAAGATGGAAACTCCAGACCAGTGTGATGAGGCAGTATGGGAGTGAAGTCTGGATGGCCAGGGCACCCTAACACACTCAGTTCCCATCTACTTCTGTGATAGAAGTATCCGTCATAAGAAAGACTTTTGTTGCAACATTTTGTAAAAGGTTTGCACTGTATGAAACCTGTTAATCATATCTATCCAAAGCACAGAGAAAGAAGGGGGAAAGTTGTGATAATGCCACTGAGTAGAGAAACAACAAACCCACTATCACCGTAGTGGAGAATACTATATAATGGGTGTCATGGCCCTTGACACTTGGGGGCCAAAGTCAGGTGGCTCTCTGAGTTGGAGGCCAGCCTGGTCTACAGTGTGAGTCCCAGCACAGCCAGGGCTGCACAGAGAAACCCTGTCTTAGAAAATAAAACTGTACAACAGCAAAGAGCACTCGGGGACTCCAGCATGCTTAGTAATTCATAAGATATGCTGGCATAAACATTGAAAACCATTCTTGAAATACTTTCACATTTGTAAACATAGAAATGAATTATGTGTAGCATGTGATACCCTGGGGTAGGTAAACCATATTATGTTTGAATACTGTCCAACTATACCAAGGCTTCATGTCTTATTATATAATTTGAAATTTTAAAGAAATCAGATGTGCCACTTAAAGCTTATGAAACTCCAAGGTTTCTCTGACCCTAAGTATTTTCTTCTTATTCCTGAAAAGCTTAGTGGTCAAAAATCTTGTAAAGTAAAAAACAAAATTACTGTGATTTTGTCTTAAAGATTAGAACCACAGTAGTAAATGGAAGTCACAAGAGACTAGAACATTTATTTTTGGTTTTTCAATACAGGGTTTCTTTGTGTAGCCTTGGCTGTCCTAAACTAACTCTGTAGATCAGCATAGCCCAGATCTTAGAGATCTGCTTGCTTCTGCCTTCCAAGTGCTGGGATCACCGCCGCCTGGTTGACATTGGCACTATTTTAAACAATAAAAATGGCTATGAATTAATAATTTAAATTTTTTTCAAGGTTTGTTGACAGTGATAATGAAAGACTGGTGGGTGGAATCTTCAGTGGAGCAGAATAACAACAGATCCTTTATTTACAGACTTCGAGAGAAGTTGCCCTGGCTGTCCTTAGCTTTTTAGCTCTAAGTTCTCGTGGGAAATTGTTAGGGAGCGAGGCTGAAAGTCCACACCCTGAAAAGGGCCTCATTCGGGTCAAGGCAGTTTGCGTATCTTCCACTCTCATTCATTTCACAGGCAAAAAGCTCAGGCTTCAAGGACTCTGTTTGGCAGCTTCTGCAGGCCCCGAGGGAACTTTCTGATCTGGCTTGTGAATGAGAGACAAAGAGGCTGATTTCTAGCAAAATCCCCCAAATTGTAAAAGCACAATCCAGCAAGACCCAGCTAGGATAGACCCGTTTGGTCAGGCCAAGGGGAGGAGCCCGCGGGGCGGAGTCTGATGAGGGGGAGGAGCCGGCGGGGTGAAACCAGGAGAGGAACGGTCGATGTCCAGCCAGGTGAGGTCCCAGAGTCGTGGGGTGGGGTCTGGAGAGGAGGCGGAGACCTGGGGGCGGGGCCAGGAGAGCCGAGGGGCGGAGCCAGGTGATGAGGCGATCTATGGGGTGGAGTCTGAGGTTGGAAGCCTTGAGGGAAGACAGCTGTGTGGCGGAGCCAATGTGAGGGGGCGGGGCTTCCGGAGGAGGTCGGGACTGGAGGAAATGAGACCAGGAGGGGCGCGGTAGGCTGCTGACGGCTGGGAGGCGGAGCCTGAGTTTGAGAGGGTGGGACTGGGGGCGAGTACGGGGCGTGGTTCTGCGCCTAACCCTCCCGGGGCGGGGTCTGGAGGCAGGGGGCGGGACGGGGCGAGACCCGGACTCCCGGCCTTCGCGCGCTGTCTGCGCAGGCCCAGTGTGCGCGCCGTCGCTACGCTGGGCGGCTAACATGGCGGCCTCCACCCGGCTGTGCGCGCTCCTCCTGTTTTTGTGTGCCTCGGACCTTCTGCTGCTCCCTCCTCCCGGGGCCTGCGCGGCCGACACGCCGGGCGAAGCCACCCCACCTCCACAAAAGAAGAAGAAGGACATCCGCGATTACAATGATGCCGACATGGCGCGACTTCTGGAGCAGTGGGAGGTCCGTTCCACCCTCACTCCCGGGCCTGTCTCCATCCAGATCCCTTCTCGCTAACCCTTACGCCTTTGGTCTCGTGCCCCTTTGACTTCTGTCCCCTGATCTCTCGCCCTGTCCTGTACCCAGGCCCTTATTGACTCTTCCAAGTTGCTGCTGACAGCCCCCCTCCCATGCCTCTCTTCATTCCACCATGGCTTGGCCTCTCTTCCTCAGTGTCCTCCACTCCTGTGGCTTCTCGGCCTCTCTTCGGGATTTGGCCTTTCACCAGTCAGGCCCCACTTTTCCTGCTACGCCCCGGTGGTCACTACATTGATCTTGACGGGCAGTGAACTGGGAAACAGGAAGAGAGCCCTCTTGGAGAGCATTCCCTCATTCCGCCCTCCTGTTCCGGAGTGAGTGGGCTGTGAAGGTTGTCTCTCGAGAACGATTTTTAGCTTTAGTGGAGATCCTTCCAAATATAGAGGGTTTCCGACTCCTTTCTGTGTATGTTCCTGCTGGGGCTTTTGTAATTTCGTGGATGGACTTATTTTACTGGTGGGGGGAGCTCAAGCATCTCCTAGGGAACTCAGGTTTTTCATTCAAGGGGACAGTGGATTTGTTTGTGAGAGGCCGTTTTCTGATGTTACTTGAATGCACTGGGGTATGTAGTCACAGTGAGTATGAATAAGGTGCTAAGGGGAGGTTACTCATCAGAAGCAATATTGCATCCTTCCCCCTTTCCAAAAGTACTGTCCTATTTGATTTACATGGCTGATGGACAGGAGTCACACAACTGTACTCATTGTGTAACTTTGGGCAGATTGTCTCTTTCTGCAGGAGAACTCCCAAGGTTTGTTTCCTATGCTGATGTTTTAACTTGTAGCTAACTCTGTATTGTTTGAAGGGGGTAAATACTTTTGGGCATAAGTTTTAAACAGCCACGTGTTGAATTTGACGAGAACAAAAGGGCTCCTGCTTTCACGTTATCTGTACCCAACAGAAAAAAATTGGAGTAGTGGGGCCATGGTAGTTCATGTTTGTAATTCCAGTACTTGAAAGACTGGTGGAGGAGGCTAGCCTTAGTTAAACCTGAGCTACATAGTAAATTTCAAACCAGTTTGGGCTTCACAGTGAGACCCTGTCCCAAAAAGAGAAAAGAAAAATAACAGTGGATTTAAATGGGCATGTGGATGACTAATGGGGAAGCCCCTCATTCTCTTCTCCATTTCAAACTGTCTTTTTGGGACTCTAATAAGCAATGCCTTTTAATCTGCCAAAGTGAGAACCTTGTGAGAAGTTTTGCCCTGGGCAGTGCTCAAATACTGAGGAAGAGGAGGCCGCAGAAATGAGCAAGGCATCTGTTAGAATGAGTGGATAATGGAAATTACTGTAGTACACAGAAACAAAACATGGTTGGCTCCTATAAAGAGAAGATGCTGAGGGAACATCAGAAGGCTGCAGGGAGGAGGTTGCATTTTAGTCAGGATAAGGAGAGTATGTGAGAAGAGTCTATGAGAGAGACCTGGGTACTGGGCAGGATAGCACAGACCAACAGGTTAACAACATTCAATACCTTTAAACTTGTTAATTTTTGTCTGGTAGAGATCCCTGTGCCTATGCATGTTTCTCAGCGAGTGTGTGAAGGTCAGAGAACAATTTGGGTGTGGGTAGTCAATTCTTTCCTTCCATCATGTGGGTCCTGGGGATTAAACTCAGGCCATCAGGTATGCCAAAGAAAATGACCTTTAACCACGGAATCAGTTCAACAGCCCTTTTGGAGGTGTGTATGTGTGTGTGTGTACATTCTTTCTATTTACTAGTTATTTTATTCTATTAGCTATTTATTGATAATGCATTCTTTTTTCTCTTTCATTTCTTTATGTCAGTATGGACTTTATGGGTTATAATGGGTTATAAATCCTCACTATTCTTGATGTTCATATTATTCCAAATTTGGCCCTTGAGCTGCTTCAGGTTGGCATCTTCATCGTTCTGACACAGTGTGTGATTCATTGAGCACTTCTTTCTGACGCAGAGAGATATTTAAGGTTTCATTTTTGTTTTCCTTGCATTGGTTAGGCTTTTCTTCAAGGAACCTACATTTTAATATTTTTATCTGTCCACTCTGCCTGTGGAATAATTGTGCCTACAATTCCAGTCTGATTCTACAAGGTGCACTCCTCCTCCTTCCCAAGTGAGGGATCTGCTGTAGTCTCCCTCAGCATGTCTACAACTTTGCCCATTCCTAGAATCCACAGCAGGTGCTTTGAGAATCGCTAGGTTACACCACTGCACAGAGCAGACCTGCCACCTGGAATTGAACAGTGCAGTGGATTGCAGGTTTGAAGTATGCAGCGTGAGGAATTTGTTATGTTCTGCTGGGGATGGAACTTAGGCCCCTGTGCATGCTAGGAAAGCACTCTGTCATTGAGCTCACGATGATTTTTGGATAGTGTATCCCACACCTTATTGAAATACAGAACTAGTGAGTCGATGGGGTTACAGATCACCCCAGATGTTCCTTCATGTTTGTTCTCAGGCAGACCCACCTTGCCTCTTTCTCCGAAAGAAACCAGTGTTCTAATTTCTGTCATCCCATATTCATTTTACCTGTCCTTAGTACTTTAAGTAAGTGGGATTGTATAGTATGTCTTTTGTAGAGTACATGCTAGGTGAGTACTCTACCACTAAGCCACATCCCCAGCCCTTTTGTATTCAAGATCATGCTAAGTTACTTAAGTTGGCCTTGAATTTTCCATCTTCTTGATCTAAGTCATTGGAATTATGAGCCTTGGCCACTATGCCTATATTTGAGATTTGTTGTAAGTGTATTGGATTTGCTATTTGTATTTTCATAACAATACCTGAATGTGTCTGTTTGTATGATTTACCACGTTGAGTAGGTTCTTTAAGACTGAAAACATCATAGAAACCTATATGACACGAGAACCCTGAGTGGTACTAGGGGAATCTTTGTTTGTAGTGATTTGGTAATGTGTACCTCTGCTTGTGACACCCTGGGCAGCACCTGTGTGATTGGAGAGTCTGATGACAGGGCTGATGATCCTTCTCTCCTGGCAGAAAGATGATGACATAGAAGAAGGAGACCTTCCAGAGCACAAGAGGCCCTCTGCACCTGTCGACTTCTCAAAGCTAGACCCAGGCAAGCCTGAGAGCATCTTGAAAATGACAAAGAAAGGGAAGACTCTGATGATGTTTGTCACTGTGTCAGGGAACCCCACCGAGAAGGAGACAGAGGAAATCACCAGCTTGTGGCAGGGCAGCCTGTTCAACGCCAACTATGATGTTCAGAGGTAAAGACCCCAGGCTAGGCAACTTTTCTGGGTTTCAGGGGATAGGTGGTTGCATTTGATTATTAAGATAGGTTTTACTGTGTCGCTCTGGCCATTTAGTCCAGCTGACCTCACTCCTCACACTTAAAATGATCCTCCTGCCTCTGTCTCCCCAGGACTGGGATTACAGCTTCGTTGTCACCTCACCTTGATGTGTGCTGGGTGTCTTTCTGAGGCTGAAGCAGGGTGTCTTTTTTGGCAGTCTTCCCAAGGACCTTGGACCTTTCCTGTCTATGAATTCTTTTAAATTTATTTCCACTTTTTTCTTTAAGCATTTGGGGTTTTTTGTTTGTTTTGTTTTGCACTTTTTTGTTTGATGTTGAAAGTTTTGTCTAACTTCTCCTATAACTTTTCCTTCATCAGAATAAAGAATTGTATTGCTTAGCTGGGCACAGTGGCATATGCCTGTAATCTCAGCACTTAAGAGGTAAAGTTGGGAGGCTCTGAGGTTCAAAGTCATTCTCATAACAAGTCATCTTGGACTACACGAGATCATTTATCAGGAAAAAACAAAACAAGAAAAAAAAAGCCCTCAAAACATAAAACAGAGATGGAAGTGGCATTTCAAAATGTTAAATAAAAATGGGAACACCCCCACCACCACCACCTGTGTTGCTCCACAGTCCCTGAGGAGTCTTTCTTTATGGCATCTGCTTCTGTCTAGATCCGAGCAGGATGCTTGTTTCCAGCTCGAGGAACATTGAAGTCAGCAGCCACTTGGCCCCAGGCAGTACAATTCACTGTTCTGTGTTTATGTGGAATTGAAGTATGTTTATGTGCCCCAACTTTCTCTAACCCTTGGCACCTCACTGGCATTGCTAACTAGCAGCTTCTCTGTCTAGGTTCATCGTGGGCTCAGACCGTGCTATCTTTATGCTCCGGGATGGGAGCTACGCCTGGGAGATTAAGGACTTTTTGGTCAGCCAAGACAGGTGTGCTGATGTCACTCTAGAGGGACAGGTGTACCCTGGCAAAGGAGGAGGAAGCAAGGAGAAAAATAAAACAAAGCCAGAGAAGGGTAAAAAGAAGAAGGAGGGAGATGCCAAACCACGGGCTTCCAAGGAAGACAACCGAGCTGGGAGCAGAAGAGAAGATCTCTAGCAGGTGGTAAGCTTCCCACCAGGCAGGCAGGACCAGACTCATGTCTTCTAGAAAGGGTCTGTGCATGACCTCTGGTCAGTATCACAGTTACTGTATGAAGGCTTCACTCACGAAGGCAGGGCTTTGTGATTTATAGTGGACACTGGCAAGACATGCTAACTGTGGCATCACCTGACATGGAAACTTGATAGATGTTTTGTACCTCTTGTATCTGGTGAGTCCTTGACACCGCCAGAGTACCACTCCCTCCTCTTCACTGCACCTGATGCGCCTGCGCTGTATGCTCTCGTCAGACAAGCCTTGAGAACCTGTGGCTTGACTGGGGCAGGCATTGATTGTGCAATCGGGGAAGATAGTGTGCTGTGTGAGCAGTGCTGGCTCTGCACGCCCAGGATCCAGACAGCAAGCTCATCGTGCAGGACGTGCGGATTCACAAGCTGGTCCTCCTCACCAATTCAGGGGATCCTTGTCTGTCAGTCTTCCTGTGGTTGTAAAAGGGATGCCGTTCTTTCTCGTGTGAGGAGAGAAGAGTGCTTCCACTGAGGGCTCATCCTCCCGTGGCCCGACAACTGTAAAGTCGATGAGGAGGGACCAGCAGACTCTTCAGCATGGACCTCATCTGCAGTATTTCCAAGTGTTTTTCTTTGATAAAGTGCCTAAACTTGTGTTTCTGTATCATACTCTCCTGGTGTGCAGCTGGTCACATCTGGGTTTTGTATGGTACTCTCATGGTGTGCTGCTGGTCACATCTGGGTTTTGCTGTTCATGGGTTAGAGCCTATCTAGAAGAACATTTCTGTGAGGATGCTTTTTCTAAGAACTTACATTCTTTAAAACCTCAGTTGTGATTTTAAGAAATTCAGAATAGTACATGTGTACATACATGGCTAGAGAGTGTCACTGTCAGAGTGTTGCAGTGTGGAGAATGCCCTACCCTGCTGCCAATATTTCGTCCCAGTGGAGCTACTGTTGATCATTGGTTTTTCAAAAATAAAGTATGTTTACTGGCTTCCAGTGATATATATATATTCTGTCCTCACTTTGATCCCTATTTATGTTTCTGTTAGTCAGCCAGGTCCTGGACACACCTGCTGAGCTTCTTCAGAAAAGGCTTTTCTTGGTCCTCACACACGTGAGCTGAACTGTTTGAGCGTGCTACCAATTCAGAAGCTGGGACAGGGCACCAGCCTGGTGGTATCTGGGCCCAGCAAATCTGAGACAAGCCGCATCCCCGGGTTTTGCTTGCTTTTACAGGAGGTAGATGATTGGCTACTGTCCTGTCAGTAGCCCTGATCTTGTCCTGTAGCTGGAAGCCTTCATGTTGCAGACACAGGGTTGTCACTGCTTTCTGTGTAGGATGAACCAATTTCACCAAAGTCATGTATTGTCTGTGATGTACTTGGCGTTACTAGGTGCCAAGTACAGTACAGACATGGCAGAAAAGACAAATGACTTACAATGTGAAATGGTAACCATGGGAGAATGGAAGAAATGTGGAGTGAAGGAGGCCAGGTGGGCAGAACCTTTACCTTGTTGGATGGGCAGCGGCTCCACCAAGGGCCCAAAGAATACACAGTTGAGGGAACAGCCTCTGCAAAGGAGAAGCAGCAGAAAAGGGGGCTCCAGGAAGGACGTGAAGGAGTCTGGCCTGGGGATGCTGGGGTTTGGAGTGCCTGAGCAGTTAGTACTGTCTGATAGGATAGAAAGCCTCCCAGTACTCAGGCCATTAGACTCTCAGGGTTACAGGTGGGGGGTGTTTGAACAGCGCTCAGTCCATGTTTTTTGCTGTCCCTAGTTTCTTGCTGTGTATTCCAAGCCATAATGAACAGATTTTCCTCTCCAAACATACTTATTTGCTACTAGAAATCACATTAGCATATGAAGAATTCCTTTTCTTACAACTCAATTGTTTGAAATCCAGACAAATCTAATTGTCTTCCCTAGTTATTAATACTACCCAAACTGCCTAGTATTTTTGCATTACTTCAAATCTTGTGTTCAAGTTTCTCAAGCATGAGGTGGTGGTAGGGTGTACTGGTGCTTCTTTGAGTCAGATAGAGGAGAATTAAAGTATACGGAAGTCATTCTTCTACAAACTACGGATTCATTACGGTGGTACCAAAGTAGGAAAAGCAGGTACATGCCTGTAATTCCAGTATTTGGGAAGCAGAGGTGGGAGGATCAAGGGTTCGAGGCCAGCCAGGTCAGGTCAGGTTATGTAGTTTGAGGCCAGCTACACCTGAAACCCTGCCCCCTCCCAGAAAAAAACCTCTAAACAAAACAAAAAGGAATAGTTGTGAGAAATTTGTCACACAACTTACAGGTACTCAGAGTTCTTGGTGTATGGTATTCTCTTAGCTGAGAGTAGCTTTCTCAGCCTCCTACAGAAGTTGGCCCTGGGCTGTGATTGCTCTCCAGTCTCATGCTCTCAGAAGGACCTGCTGCTGTGACAGTGACTGCAGCTGCATCTGAACAGCACAACTGCTTCACCGCCGTGTCCGGGACCACCATCTCCTCAGGGAGAGCCACCTCAGTGCTTCAGGACGCTCCTTCCTGTGCTGGAAATCGGCCCTGGCGTTGAGTCAGCTCGCAGCATTTCTGAGCAGGAGTTCCAGGACAGCCAAGGCTACACAGAGAAACTGTCTTAACAAAAACAAAACAACAGCAACAAAAAAAGGACTAGTCACCCTCTGTGAACATTATGTTAACCTTCATGTTTGACTTTTCTGGGGTTTTGTTCAGTATATCATATTCTACCCCTTTGGAGAGGTCCGAGGTCATGCCATATTGTTACCCATGGGAAAGTTGTTTTTCTAGCAGTCTAAGAGTCCTTACTTTAAAAAATTTTTTTTTACATTTGTTTATTTGTGCAACATATGTGTAGGCATGCAAATGTCCTGGATCCCATGTGGAGGTCAGAGGACAGGCAACCTGTTAGAGTTGGTTCCCTCCTTCTACTATGTGGGTCTCAGGGATTGAACTCACGTCAGTAGGCTTGACTGGAAGTGTCTTTACCCACTGAACCATCTTGCCAGCCCAGATCTTTCTCCTAATAAAGATTCTGTCATTTGCTGGGAAACATCTTCATGCTGATTTTTCTGAATTTTCAGTTACAGATTCAGCTCCCTCTCCTCTGATTTAAAAAATTGTATGAAATTTATCTTTTATTGTCATTTTAGCTGTAGTTTTCTCTACTGGTTTTTGCATGGCAACTTCTTCCTTAGTTCTAAAATTGTTTTATTTTGTTACTTGGAGACAAGATTTTCCTATGGTGCTCTAGCTGATTTCAAATTCATCACTTAGCTCAGGCTAGCCTGCAACAAAAGATCCTCCTGCGTCAGCCCCTTGAATACTTGGTTTACATGTATTATTTGCCATGCCTGTCTCTGAAATGATTTTTAATATCTGTCAGGTATTAAATTTCATCTTCGAGCTGTTTAATTTAAAAATCATTTTTTTTATTACGTTCTCCAACTCAGAAAAGTTCAAATGGGCACCTTGGCTAATTTTTTTTTCCTGATAGAGTGTCTGCATTGAGATTGGGGATATGGCAGAGTTAGTTGTGCTTGTTAGCATGCACAGAGACCTAGAGTCAGTCCTAGCTATCACCTAAACCCAACACAAGTACATAGGAGGCAGAGGCAGGAGGATCAGAAATTCAAAGTCATCCTTGGCTACATCGCAAATTTGAGGCCGGCCAGCCTGGAGTAATGAGACCTTGTCTCAAGAAAAGTAGGTATGTGTTAGTTAGCCTCGGCTTGCTGTATTCTTTTCCTGTTGGCCAATTCCAAATGTCTGGGTAGACATCATACCTATTTCTTTCCTCTTTCGTTGTTGAGTAGACACAGCTTTTCAGCTTTTCCCATTCTTGAGCCAACAGCAGCATTTGCAGTGAATTCTGGACCTCCCTCCCTGCTCGGAGCTGGGAAGGTGGGATCTCTAGCTAGATGCTGCTTTCTCAAAACTAAACAGTGAGGAGAGAAAGGTTCAGAGAGCTTGGCCTTGTTTGGCAGGTGGCCTCTGCCTCCCTTGCTTTCAGGAAATGCAATGCCTAGACTAGGGCCTTTCTCCCAGGTTGGGGAGAAGCAGCCAGGACTTTAGAGTCTCCCCGCCATTAGATGCGGACCTTGACCCCTTTGTCAGGACAGGATGCATGTTTTCTGCTTTGCTTATCTGTCTTTCTAGAAACCATTTTCATTTGCACCTCCCACTAAAGGAAAGGGCTCACAATGTGTGAAGTTTTTTTTTTGTTTGTTTGTTTGTTTTGAGACAGGCTTTCTCTGTGTAACAGTTCTGGCTGTCCTGGAACTCACTTTGTGGATGAGGTTGGCCTCTGCCTCCAGAGTTCTGGGACTAAAGGTGTGTACCACCACTGCCTGGCCCTATAATTTGTTTTATATAACAATACAGTTTACATGTTAAATAACACTGTAATAGAATCATTTGATAAGGCTTTCAAGATTTATTATTACTATGTTTTTAAGTTATGTGTATATGTGTGCATATTCCCTCAGAGTCCAGAAGAAGTCATCAGATGTCCTGGAGCTATAGTTATAGCCAATTGTTGGCTACCTGGACTTGAGTGCTAACAACCCAATTCAGGCCCTCTACAAGAGTATTGTGTACTATTTATTTATTGATTGATTGATTGATTGATTGTTTGAGACAGTGTCTCACTATGCCTTGGATGACCTGGCATGCTCTATCTACATAGTCCAGACCTTCAAGTACTGGGATTGAAGGTGTGTGCCACCATACCTAGCTTCATTTAGTTTTGAACAGAAGAAAAAAAAAAGGAGAAATTTTCAAGTTACAAAATCCCTCCCTCCAAGGCGATTTAAAAAAAATCACTTTGCCCAAGTAGGTGTCAGTGTCACAAAGGGACGACACTGTGTCTAATTCCTGTTGTAACGGTCAATGGAATTGGAGAGCATGAATTCAAAGAAAGAAAACATTGGATTCTTCTGGAATGCCAGAATGCTTCTTGCTGTTTCCCCATGGCAAGAGTTTAAATTCTCTGAATTCCCAGGGTTTTGTTTTTGTTTCTTGAATAACAATTGAAATCTTGATTTTGTTTGTTTGGTTTTGTTGTTTGTTTCTGAAGCAGGGCCTTGCTCTGCGTCCTTACCACACCCATCTAAAATCTTGATTTTTATTAGGATAACATCACAAGGCAGGTTGTAGTAGCTCATGCTTGAAGTTTCAGAGGCCGAGATGTGAGGATCACTGCAAGTTCAAGGCCAGCCTAGGCTAAACATCAAGACTTATCCCAAAAAAACAAACATATAAATCCACAGCAATGGTTAAAAGAACTTGGGCTGATTAGATGTCTCAACAGGTAAAAGTGTTTGGTGAAAACTTGAAAACGCACACAGACAAGTAAATAACAAAGTTTGATCCCTGGGTCCCACAATGGAAAGACAACAGGATCAGCTCCAGAAAATTGTTCTCTGACCTCCACGTGCATATCAAGGCACTCAGTGTGTGCTCACTCCCACCGCACACTACACAATAATAACAAAATAAGTGATGGTCAACAGCTGTATTCCAACACTTGCGAGAGGAAGGCGGGAAAAGCAGCAACTCAAACCATCCTCGGCAACAGGGGTTCAAGTCCCTTCTGGCCTTCCTAAGACTCCATCTCAAAACAAAACAAGAACTTCCTCTGCCAACAGTCTTTCTCACTTGATTAAGTTTCCTCTGGGGCCACTGTCTCTGATCATTATCTTCAGATTGATGTCATCATAGCAGAAATAGAATTTCATTTGTTCTCGTTTCTGTCTCCCTGTCTGGGCTTTATGCTGAGCAGTGTAGTGACTGTAGCACCTCTGTCCTTGTATTGTACCATAATTTCACTTAGGATTTTACAGATGACGTCATGGATAAAGCAAGGCCAGATGTGGCTCCAGAGAAGACTACAGTAGCACTTGAGCCAGATTGTTTCTGTCTCTGTAACAAGGCCCCAGACCTTAGCAGAGCTGACTCCATGATGGAAGTGCCATTCAGGCC